TATATATATATATATATATATATATATATGTATATATATATTTATATTTAAGTAAAACAGAAATGAGAAAAAACTACTGTAACTACACCTGCCTCTTGTGAATAAATGCCTATTTGTTTCTTTTCACGTGTCTCGTTATTCTCGGCACGCCGAGGAAACGCCATGCGACCGGAAAAATGCATGTGTTACAGCAATACTAATAACATAAGTAAATTAAAATTAAGAATATATGAATATGTAGAAGTGTCAGAAGTGACGGAGATATGGAGTGAAGCATAATCGCAAGACGTTCGCAAAATGGACTTTTATTAAATAAATATTGTCGTCATATAATCAATCAGATCAAGAGTCACGCAATTGTCATACAGTCTCGATCACACACGCACTCCGAAGGGTAAAGGTACTAAGTACAAACGATCCTATCGTGCGACACACGCAACGTCATACGTGTTCACACACCCCTATGTACACGTGAAAAGTCACACGAAGGTAGCGCGTCATTACTTTTTCTCGATCGATTTCTCGCAAGAAAGCATAAAGTCCTTAGGCTAGAATTCTTAAGGAGCATCGTTGCAGTCGCCGTTCGATTAGTATTGCCGCGCAAAAACACTCTAGTGATATTGCACTATTGTTGCGTTAAAAGACCGGAATTCACGGCTGGATGTTTGACTTTCATCTCAATAAATACGCTTATCGATTAAACTTTATTTTTCTTTGTTTCGACGTATCGCAGATAATTCGTCGATCCTGACGAACAGAACGATGGACGGATAGCGTGGCCGATTAATTCGACGCAGAAAGTCATCCGAGCTTGTGTTTAAGTAACATTGATCCATACGCGTAACATGGATACGCAATATAAATGCCAACTATCACTCAAAACCGCGTGAGAACAAATTTCTCATCTCGTAGAAACGTTTCGTAACTACGATTTATTAATTACTCTCGTGTATATCAATTTAGCCGTTGACAAGATTTTAAAAAATTTCCTACCAAAATAATCACTAATGTCACAGAGGTCACAACAATGCGCTCGCATAACGTGTAAAAAACCGCGTACGACATTCTTTCTCGATTCTAACGTAAGACACAGCGTATCACAATGTTTCGTATCAACAGTAATTCGACGTTCCCTCGGCGCGAGAGGAACGAAACGAAGAGCTCAAGCAACTTCGTTTTCAGTCCATTATTTGATCAGCTGGTCGCGAGCACGTTTCGAGATAAAAGGTTCCCACTTAGAGATCGTTCTTACCATGGAAAACGATTGGTTCCACGTTGATAAGAATGACGCCACATTTTTGTGCGAGAAGGAAAAAAACGTGCGCGCTTTGCCAATCCTAGTTATTGCGCCTTGCCAAGACTGCTTTCGGGAAACTAATGGGAACATTAACCCTTTGCACTCTTTCGTCACCTTTCGCGCGGCCAATATTTCTCTACTGAAGTAAGACTCGTTACCAATCAAACCTGCATCGAGTGTCAATAAGAAAAAAATTAGGAAATCGCAACAAATTTCCACAGTTTAAAAACATAAATAATATGTATATTAAAACCTTTCGAGCTAAAAATGTTCTGGTCAAATTTCAGAATGGAACCTTCTGATGTTCCTTTAAAGGAACACAGACGATACTTTTCTTTATAGATAAGGTAAGATTGCGTTGATTTCATTCTGTTGATTTCGGTTCATTCTGTTGGTGGTTCGGTTGACATAACATTATTATATACGTCGTCGATAATTCTCACACAAAAAGCTTATGAATTTAAATAAACAATAATGACAGCCGGATTGCGTCGATCAATCGACATGATCAAAAAGTGACGGGTAAAAACGCGGCTGATAGGTACGAGATGAAGGCGAAAAGTACGTTCGCAACGATTAAGCGCATGTCGAGGCGCGCGAGAACGCTTCGCAAGAACCGTCTACGACTTTCGCTACTCGAGGAATCGTAGAAAGTCGGACGTTCCGCATGTTTTTGCGGCAGTAGACGCGCCACTTAAATTCGAATTAGTAGTCCGTCTCGACAAGAGCATTAGTATTAGGCTCTCATCATTAAGAACAATACGTCTGTCGTGAGCGATCACATTCGTCGCTCCACGCGTTACAAAAGCACGACCGAAAATACGGTTCGCTAAGTCTTTTACTATTACGCATCGATGTGTCCCAGCGTTCAGGACAAATTTCAAAATTTACACGAATTCAGCGACAACCTGGCTTAAATCATCATCAATCGTAGCTCTCTTAAAAACGAAATTGCTAATTTAAAATTAGTCCAAATTCGACGTTTCTTCGTGACCGACAGCAACGGCCAAAAATATCTGGGACGCTGTCCCTACTTGCGATAGAACGTAGACCAAGTAATACTATGGCTGTGTTAAACTTTCGTGAAAAGAAAACGCAAGTACACTATCACATAACTCACACTTATCTTCTCTTTATCTTCTGCCCATCTCTTCGTATGAACTTGCACTCTTTGTATGAGACAGCCACGCAGGAACCACAGGTACGGTCTATCGTCGTCAGTCGATCGCGTTCGTAAGTATAGTTAATTCATCGTAACGCTGCTATTGCGCTACGTCACTTTCGTCAAAAGAGCCCGAACATCTTCTTCGTCGAACCAGTGCTCCTCTTCTTCCTGGCCGGCGCGGACACGTCCGAGTTATCACCGTTCTTCATGGCGATGTCATGCGCAGTCGGAGTCAGTTTGCTGCGCACGTGCTCGTCCAACAACGCATGCATGTCCATTTGCCACTGCTCCAGCTGTTGACTCAACTCAACCTTCTGCTTGATAGCTTCCTTCAACTGACTGTCCGCTTGCAGAATATCTATCCGCGTCCTGGCCAACTCTACCTCAACTCGGTTCTGCCTGGCTACTGCCTGGTCTCGCACTTTGTACGCCTTTGCCACAATCTCGTCCTTCGTTAGTTCGGAGTGTTCCATATCACCTCTGGCACGGTCGCGCTCCTCCTTGACGCCGCGCAGCTCCGCTTCACGGACGCTTAGCTTACTCGTCACCTCGAGCAAAGCGTCCGCACGTCGCTTCAGCTCCTCTTGCATCTGTTTGGACTGTTCCCTCGAGTGCTCGAGTTCCTCCCGCACCCTGTGCAGCTCTACCGCGAGTCCTAGTTCGCCAGGGGCTCCCCTGCCCGACAGAGCGAGGTTATAGACCTCCTCGACTAACTCCAATAATGCACCCGGATAATTCGTCTGTAAATCAAACATACATTAAATAAATAAACGTATACATTGTGTATACATTTACTTATTTCATAAATCCTTTATAATTCCCATATTCAGTCTATTATTACAATTCTAGACAAAATCGTAAAATTCGTAACTTGTTTTCGTAAGATACGTAAGAACTTATGAGTAGATCTGCAATTCTATGCGGAGCGTATGTCATATGATAACTCATAAATATCTACGATTTTTCCTGGTTTTTTTCGTAAGCTACAACTTTACGATTTTACGATTTACTCGTATATTTGCATAGAATTGCAGCATATGTGATTAAATAGTTTAAAATTTAATTTAATTTAATTCTCTTAGTTTCATATTTGAAATTCCACGCTAATAAACCCCACTCCGATAAATTTTAGAATTTGACGTTTTAGAGGATAAATTACACACATTAAGCACACTTACCGGTGAGGGGTGAGCCTCCCGCTCATTGCTGCCGACATCCGCCTCGGAGTTGTTGACGATCACGAGCATGGACTCGTCGCAGTCGCTCTGCAGACCGGAGTCATCTTCGCCGCGTCTCAGATGAGCGCACAGCTCCCTCAGTCGCTTCGTCGCCCTCGCCACTTCCGTCCGTAAACCGTCCTCCTGTTCTCCCAACGAACTTCCGCTTTCTTCGCACTCCATCTCCGCCTGCAGGGACCGCGGTGGCTTCTGTATCGAGCCGGACCTAGCCCTCCTTTCCGCCTCGATGGCCGCCAATGACGACGTCAGCTCGTCCCTGGAAGCAACAGCATATTCGATTATGAAGTGACGCAATAATACGTTTTGAAGACGCGGAATTACACAGTGAAGAAAAGACGTGGCGCGTCGCAATAAGAACTACCGCTCGCGAGGCGAATTGCCCAAAAGCACCTTTGAAGCTTGCACCTAATAATGGTCTGATGCACATCGATCATCGACTTGCGAGGGCATGATAACGTCTCGGATGATCAAGTAATGGGGATACTAAACAATATGATATAGATGTGAAAGATACAACCTCCGCTTGTCCCACTTAAACCTTATCGATCGAATATCCTTTAGAAGAAACTTGATGCTGAACCTCCTTGGAATTCGGTAAGATTTAACGACCAGTTGGAAATCGCGTTCAATCGAGCGTTACTCGAGGCGCGTGTCAACCTGAGCATAATGATGCGTGCAAAACGCGGATTCTGCGGGGCCTCACCTCTCCTGCTCGGCCACTCTCGCGCGGTGTTCCGCTTCGTGGCTGAGCCGCTCCAAGGCCGCGGCTCTCTCCTCGGCTTCCTCGAGGGCCGCGATCGCCCTGGCCCTCTCCTCCCGGAGCTCCAAGGACCGCCTCTCTAGCTCGGTCCTTTGTGCCGAGACCAGTTGTACCTGGAACGACGACCCCGTGTGATTCCGAGATAAGACCCACGGAAATACAATTGCGATTTATTGAATCGTCATCTCAAGCTTTCGCTCGTCATCTTGACGAGAGTTCAAGGGTCTCATCTCACCTCTTCGATTAAATCAGAAACGTGAAACGTGTGTAATTAGCAAGAGACGCGGCGCGAAAATGTGAGTCACATTTCCCGAGACACGATATTCGGTCGCTGTTGCAAAACGAGAAAAGAGGGTGTGGCGAGAGAACCAGTCGATCGAGGGTCACGTTCATTTTTACATATTATTCGACTTATAGCACTTTCCCACAGATTACATGAGTATGTTCATGCGCGAACACGGGCACCGATTACTGCTTCCTCCTCATAAAAAGTCCGCTGTGAATTATTCAGCAGACTCGGCCCTACCTGAGAACGCGTTCGGGATTTCCGAAAGGGTAATGATTAATAACAACAGCTTCCGCTCCTTATGAGCCAATTAGGTGGAAAAGAAATTTCAGTAAGGAACTAATAAGATTGATGGACGGTCGCGAAACACGCACAAGAGTTGGAAGTTCAAGTTCTCACCTCATCCCGGAGGATTTCGAGACTGCTCACATGATCTTGCAACGTGGTGTTTCTCAGGGCACATTTTTCCCTCAGCACCTTTACTTCGACGAGCAATTGCTCTTCCTGTTTGGCAGCCTCCCTCAGTTGATCGGCCAGCCTTGTGTTCTGCGCCGTCAGTTCCGCAACCAGGGCGGCCTGGTCGCGTTCCGCTCTCCTCGCCCTCTCATTTTGCTCCTCCAACTGACTCCTCAGCGTCTCCACGTCAGCTTGAAGCTCCAGAGCCCGCGCTTCGCTCTCATCCCTGGCTTCCTCGAGTCTCCTTCGCAGTAGGTGCCTTTCTTGTTCCAAGTTCTGCAAGAAAAGAATATAATTGAATTTACTCTTTTCAACGCGATTGACAAACGTGATCGATGCTGACTCGAAAGACGCGAGGTCGTGAGGCCAAAATAGTCCCTGTAAAAGCAGCACGTTTGACATTCGAAAGGATAGAGACACAAAGAGACTCTCGCTGGTTACACCTTTCACGAGATCGGCGTCTTACATCGTACCGACGTCATTCGGCGGGTTCGGAGAGTAAAAGAAACCCAGTGTGACTCAGTGCACATAAATTACGTCTCACGACGTCCATATGTATGTATACGAGATCCGCACAAGATGGTGCGGATACAGAGTTGAGAACTCGGTGAAAGGGAAGCTCTTAAATTTATTAACATACAATTAAACGCAACTTGGCCGCTTAACCAACCACTTCGCTTTCCACTTGTTCAAGAATCAAGTTTTATCCACAATGAAAACGTATCGCGAGTGTTTCTCCTCCATCTCGCAAGCCGTGAACTGAAGCGATAAAATGGAGAAAACCTCGAAATCGCATTGAATTTTCAAGAGAGAAATGCATTCGCGAACAGCGGAACGTCAATTTTCTTCTTGCGCAATAGTAAAGTAAGAAAAAACAAGAGAAGGCTTTGTATTTAAGCGTAGGAAAGCATAAGATCACTCAACAAGAATTTTCACCAACGAAAGTGCCGACATGTGATCCGAGATAAACTTATATAATTATCATGACGTGAGAAAATTGGTGATGTAAACTTTACTATTCTTTTAATTGCATTTATGAAATAAATATACCGTACTGAATTAATTATTAAACTTACATCAAACAATAATGTGAATCTTCAGTGTATTGATGCAGCAACAAATTTACTAAAAGTTACACTCAGATTTTCATATTGTATTTACACGCATTTTGCACGGGGATGCTTCCGTGCGTAACAAAGAGACACGAGAACTGGTTTCGTCGCGGGTACACACGCTGAGCGATGGCCACACACGTAAGTCGCTTTTGTTCCCACATGGAGTTTCTCAACCCGATGGCCGATAGCATACTCTGCCAACGGTAATAAGACGCAATAGTCGGAAAAAGCGGCCCGATTCTAAATGAAGCGTTAGCGCTAATTAATACTCTCATTTACTAAACGAGGCAATCTCGTTTAATTAGTCGCGATATCCAAAGTTATCTTTGCGCAATCATATTCGTATTACGTAGCACGGTATAATCTCACGTAGTAATACTGAGAAAAAATAAATATACTTCCTAATTGGCCTTTTTATTGATGGATCCAACGGGTTGAAGATGTTTCCGTTCATACTTAGTCTAGATCTGAAATCCTTGAGGATTTTCACCATTTTGTAAACTGTGTCGTTGGAATATTACTAGTCGTCATCCTTCTTTAATTATACAAAATACGTGTATAAAAAAAAATCGACGCGAGTCGATTGTATTCACGCGTGTATTCACATACACGAGTATCAAGCGGCTTAAAGCCGGTGAGCCGTTTATCGAGCTGGACGGTACGGCCTTGGTATCCCATGGTTACTCATCGACCGATCGTCAACATGCCCGCAGGTCTACAGTTCACCGATCCCGAAAGTCCGTGAAAGGCTGGCGAATTCGCTCGAACAATGAATGTTATTCAACATTGTGGAGAAAATAAAAAAAAAGAATAATTTATCAAACACATTAGATATTAAAAAATAAAATAATATCTACATGTTGGTATTAACTATCTTTCGACATAAAATATCAAATCGTGTAAACTCCGACAAATAAAATAAAAATTCGTCTCTATCTGCAATGTTATCGAATTAAATTGGAGCGGTCCTTTCTGATATTGCGCTTATATTTTGAAAATGTGTGTTTGTAAGGGTGAAATATGTATTGAAAAATGACATATTTGAAAGACCTAAGTGGAAAGCATAGTTGGAAAGGACATCGACAAAACTCTGCTCGGAAACGTTTCTTAAATGTTTGAAATCATTTATAGTTTCGGGGATATTAGCTTACACAAATTATTAGCTTACACAATATTAGTTTACATTTGCATCTGAATTTCCTTCGAGAAGTTGTTCCCATCCTTAAACATGCAAGAAAACGCATATGAAAGAAATGCATCTTTTATTTTTAACTATTGCACCCGGCAATTGAGCCGGACAAGTTTTATCGGCCATCTGTGGCCTTCGAGCGTGGTTACTTCCTTCACCATTGCACCATGACTTATGCAAACGAAGTACGAAACTCGACAAACGCAGGCCGCAGACAACCGCAATAGTGTCCAGAGCCTCTCAACTACCTTTGCAATTTGGAAGGATATCAAGTACCATGAAAATTTGGACGAAAACATATTTTAAATGTTTAAAATAATTCATGGTTCCAGGGATATTAGCTTCCAATTATTTGCACCCGAATTTCCTTCGAGGAATTGTTTCCATCCTTAAACGTGCGAGGAAACGTAAAGAAATGCATGTCTCTTATTTCCAGCTGCTGCACAAGCGTCCAAAACTCCTCAAAATCGCAGTAAGAGACACTTTCATATATTTCCGTAGAGAAAAAAATACCACGGTTCGATGGAATGTGCACCTCCGCTGTTAGACGCATGAGTCACAAATCTCGACGTCCCGTTCTCCGGGCTACAGCGAGCAACGTTGCTCCGAATGCGGTGGTTGCGCGCCGGTTCTTCGTCGTTGTCGTCGTGTAACACAAATACTCCGCCAGCCAGAAACACCGGTACTTACGGAAATTCGCACATTAAAGTCTCCCAGAAGCGCGACGATGAGTCATTGTCGCGAGCCGGGCAATTTTTGCCAATCGTCTGTGGCCTTCGAGTGTGGTTACTTCCTTCACCATTGCACCATGACTTATGCAAACGGAGTCCGAAACTCGACAAACGCAGGTCGCAGACAACCGCACGAATTGCGAAGTACATTCGGAGCAGATTTAAATATTTATCAAATTGTGCGTACTATATAAAAATTCAGAAATCACGCGAAATAAAAATTCAGTCTATTGCGACGTGAGTCGCATATATTCTCCATATATTCACCATATATTCTCTTCATATAGAACATTGATATGTAACAGATGGAGTGCAGAAATTAACTCGAAAATTCCGACGGATTTTAAGGGCGGAACGCGAAGGATGTTAAAGATAGATCAACGGGCTCTACGATCCGTGTCCTTGTCGAATCAAGTCCGTATACACGACTGCTATTTACCAACGTTATCGAACGTAACGTTATCTATGTATTTGTTGCCAACACGATGCGCAATGAGTCACAGATCCATGACCGTCGTCGATGCGGTTCCCCGATCTAACGGCTAGCCGCGTCCGCAATTTGCGCAAAATACAATACGCGGCACGCGAGCGGCGTTTACCACGCGTCTAAATAATTGCACACGATTGCGTCTCGCCACGGCATTGCCTTGCGAGTGGATGTTCCTGCTCGTGACTCACGACTCCTGTCTAATTTTCGATCCTCCTCTCGTCTTATTCTTGCGACACCGATGGCATCAGCATCGCCGATAGGGATGACGACACAACGCGAAATAAAAATTCAGTCTATTGCAACGTGAATCACATATATCACCACGGGGGAGTCGCGAGACTTGCGCGACTGGTACGAATATATTGCTATCCTCAATTTAGTTTGCCCTGTTACGACGGAGCTTCGTGCCTTTCGTGCTCGCGCTTCATAAATATAACGCATATATCAAACCAAATGATATATTAAAAATGTCGTCAATATATAAAATATGTTTCTTAATCCTGTTGTACAGTGGGCTACAAAACGGTTCAGACACTATGAAGTTAGAAACTCATCAAACTTCTATCTAGAAATTATTGTTACTTTGTTATTATTACCTAAAATTGAGAGTCATTGTTACTGACGAGCTCTCTTGCTCAGTAATTGTATTATTAATTATTATTATTATTATTTATTATTTTTTTAGTGTTTTTAGTTATATTATTAGTTATATTATTAATTATGTTATTGTTGCGAAAACCTCCGTCAGTAATAATTCTCAATCTTGTTTGATGAAGTTCTCAACTTCATTGTGTCTAAACCATTTTGTGAGTCACTGTACGGACAAACAACATCAGTATATCAATTGCATGTTAATTTTTAGGGAGAAGCCTTTAAAATACGTTCGCGACACTGATTTCTGGCACCATATTTTATTTGCATAAGATGCTTTATAAAGCATATTTATAACAGTAACGTTTATGAAAACTTCTTTCAAACTTAGAATGTCTCTGACGTATGATGTAAATTAAAAAAATTAAACTTGCAATAAAAGAGTGGGATTGTAAACGTTTTTCGATGAAACTCAAGTTTAAGCAGCGATTCCCCTTTTGAATATTCTGCAACTTTTGTTCCAAAACGTTGTAAAATCGCGCGATCGATGGGAAACGGATATTTCGCTTTCGTTGCAAAACGCGTCGATCTCCTGCCCGCGTCCGATCTAATTACACGGTAGGACGGGTGAGACCTCCGTGGCGCAAATACCGGTCGACGTCCGGCTCAACGGACATCCCCTCGTTGTTTTCTGCGTCGCCGGACTATTTCCGTTCGAGAGAAACGGGAAGATCCAGAGGAAGTGCCCGAGAGAAATCGACGACCAGCGTAAATGAAGCCAAAGAGCATTAAACGTGTCAAGTACTAATGAGATATTTTTTACCAACTTGTATTAAATACGATCACTTTTCATTTAATTATCTCGCACCATACATTTGTTCATCGCAATGACTATACGTGTGAGAAGTCAACAGTCGATCGGATCTCCCAGAAAATTCACATTCAATTGTTGTAACCAATATTGTTTATTCATACAACGGCATGCTTTGGATCGTGACAACTAAAATTTCTCAGGACACGTCCTCGCCATCGCAATCGCGCGATTAATTGCGGACTAATTACTGTTGCTGTGTTTAATGGACGCAGGCAATGATCGGGCGGTTCAACGCGCGCAAGCATTGCGTTGCACCTCGTTCACTTTCCCTCGAAGAAAACGATAA